AACAAGCTACTCCCTTGTTAGCTCAGTGGATAGGCAGTTTGATTATGCCCCAGGGAAAGTCTGTTAAAAATAAAATATGTTAGTGCTTGTGCCTTCAGTTGCAGCAAAATGAAATGCTATAGACTATGCCATTTCAGACTTCTGGTGGAAGATGGTATTTCTGTTTCTCCATGAACTATTTTAAATAGAAGATTAGTGTATTATTTTTAAAAGGTTCTATCATAGCCATTTGAATGTTTCGCTACACAGTAAAAAATATGATTTGTCCATGTATATTTTGAAGTACTGAAGTCTATTTAACTTCTTTAGAGTTACATGTACAGATTATTAGATACTCTCACATTCTGGAACCAAACCTAATAAGCAGAGAAGAAGGATAGTACAGGTAGTCCTTGTTTAGTGAGCACAGTTGGGACCAGCAACTCGGTCATTAAGTAAAGTGGCACTAAGTGAAACCGCGACTGTGCTTATGATCTTACTTCAGCTTTCCTTTGCTTTACAGACCTACAAAGGTCGTAAATTCAAGGATTGGTCGTAAAGTTACTTTTTCATCACCATCGTAACTATGAATGGTCACTAAATGAGGCAGTTGCTAAACAAGGACTACCTGTATTTGGAAGAAGGTGATGTAAACTAACCGGTCAAAATCTGATTATTAAAAATGAAAATGGAAACAAAACTCTGGGCCAGGCTTCTTCAGAGTGTGAGACATGGATATAGTAGACATTGGCACCAGCTTTCCTTTTCTTCTATCCATTAAAACAGCCTGAAATGCATAATTGTACTTCTTGTGGAAGATTAGCAGGATAAATATAATCCAGACTTTGCTTCACCTTATTTCTTTATTCTGGATCCTGTAGTGGCAAGGCAATGCTCATAGGATGGAAGGCTGGATGTCTCAAAACTTCTTTCCCAGAAGTCATCAAAGACTTCGCTCCTTTGCCCCACTATGTTCCTTAGGTTGGTGACTTGATAATTCCTGCTGTTGTCACCTCTATTCCAGGGGGTGCCTCACCTGGTTTCTTTTCTCCGACTCCAGTATGAGAGAATAAGGCTTTCTCAATGTATGCTACCTTTCCAGTATTTTTTTAAAAAATAATATGTATAATACAACCTTCTGATCCTGAGGCATAGGTGTGTATGATTATTGGTATGAGCTTTCCTCCTTCTTCCCCACTTTGATACATCAGTCTTTCTGTGCTTGCGTAACAGAGCACAGCTCTTTCCCTCTTAAATGTTGATTCACAATAGTATTTATTTGATATATGCTATTCATTCCTCAAGGCTCTGGGTGGTTAAAAGTCTCAACATAAAATAAAATAACATCCACAAAAACTTAGACAGACAGACACACACACGTTTGTGTGTGTATAAATTAAAAAAAACAGGAAATATTAAAATCATGTGCTCAGGAACCCCACTTTCAGTCATAATACACCCTCCTCCTGTGTAAGATGTAACAGCTTTCTAAAGTCAAAAAGGGATGAAACTGACCAAATCTCTGCAGGAGGGAGTTTCAAAAAGAGGGAGCCACAACTAAAAATGCCTGCTTCTGAGACCCTGTCAAGTGACAATCTCACAGAGATGATGACTAGAGGAAATTGACCCTATTTGGCAAATTAATACAGGAAAAGGTGGGCACTCAGATAACCACGTTCAGAGCCATATAAACCTTAAGGTGACAACCTTGAATCATACCCAAAAGCTAACTGGCGGTTAATTCAAGTTCTGAAGCAGGGGGTGAGGGGGTGTCACCTGAGCATATCAGGATATACCCACCTCTGCCTAGATCCCCGTATTCTGTACCAGCTGAAGTTCCAGTTGCTCTTCAATGACAGCCCAATGTAGAATGTGTTACGGTAGTCCAAACTGGACGTGATTAGGGCATGAGGTGGGACTATTGCTACTGTGCCAGCCTCCCTGGCTGAGCTTCTTGACTTTGTGGCTAAACTGACAGTGGAGTTCCCCAGGATTATAATCTTGGGGGACTTCAACTTGTCTTCTCTAGGTGCAGAGTTGGAGGCAGCCTGGGAGTTCATGGCCACCATGACAGCCATAGACATGATCCAGGTCATTGACCCAGTGCATTACAGTGGACACACTTTGGATCTGGATCCTGCTGGGCAGTAGTAGCATGGTCTGGACTTTTACTCTATTACTGTTACTCCTGTCATGGTCAGATCACTTTCTAATCACTTGGAGCATTCTGGGGTTGCTGCCTGCCACAGAGAGATGTGACCTATTTGATTGATCAACCCCAGGCACCTGTTGGACCTGACAGGCTTCCAGAGGGAGCTTGAGGTTGTTCCTGAATATTTGATGCATGGGCTCACTGAAGCCTTAGTCACTGCTTGGAATGAGAGGGTAACCAGGGCCTTAAATCAAATCATGCCTATACAGTCTCTCCCCTCCCGCAGATTTTGGTGTTCCCTTTGATTTACAGATAAAGTGGGGGAGGAGGTGCTTAGAACATACTGGGGAATGACAGGTGAAGCAATCAAACATGAGCTACAGGTGCTGTTAAGGCCTACCTCAGTAGTAGTAAGGGTAACAAGCATTATTACTTTCCTGCTCTTATTGTGTCCACAGAAAACTGGCCAGTGGCCCTGTTTTGAGTGACCTGGGGAAGGTGGAGCTGGAGACTTATTCACAGGGCTGCTGTGAGGAATATGCTATGCAATTAGTGGATAAAGTTGCTCAGATTTGCTCCAAGCTGGACTCCAGGCTTCATGCAGGTCCTGCAGAGTTGACTGAAGCTTGATCTTACTCCTGTTAGTCCCAAGGAAATGGACAGTTCTTAGAGCTGTGATTTTGGCCACCTCAGTATTAGACCCATATCCCTGTGAATCATCTCTGAACAGGGGAGTACAACCCTGTTCAGAGACAAAGACAGCATTTCCTTGGAATCATTAGGTTCACAAACCCAAAGCTACTCCATCTTGGAGGGTGTCTGTTCCTCCCCATCCAGACCCTGACAACCTCCAGGCACTGCGTCAGCACTTCCACAGCACTACCTGTTTGGCCTGAGAGTGAGATGCATAGCTGGGTATCATTAGTATATTGATGATACAGTGGGGCAAAAAAGTATTTAGTCAGCCACCAATTGTGCAAGTTCTCCCACTTAAAAAGATGAGAGAGGCCTGTAATTTTCATCATAGGTATACCTCAACTATGAGAGACAAAATGGGGGAAAAAATCCAGAAAATCACATTGTCTGATTTTTAAAGAATTTATTTGCAAATCATGGTGGAAAATAAGTATTTGGTCAATATCAAAAGTTCATCTCACTTAAAAAGATGAGAGAGGCCTGTAATTTTCATCATAGGTATACCTCAACTATGAGAGACAAAATGGGGGAAAAAATCCAGAAAATCACATTGTCTGATTTTTAAAGAATTTATTTGCAAATCATGGTGGAAAATAAGTATTTGGTCAATATCAAAAGTTCATCTCACTTAAAAAGATGAGAGAGGCCTGTAATTTTCATCATAGGTATACCTCAACTATGAGAGACAAAATGGGGGAAAAAATCCAGAAAATCACATTGTCTGATTTTTAAAGAATTTATTTGCAAATCATGGTGGAAAATAAGTATTTGGTCAATATCAAAAGTTCATCTCACTTAAAAAGATGAGAGAGGCCTGTAATTTTCATCATAGGTATACCTCAACTATGAGAGACAAAATGGGGGAAAAAATCCAGAAAATCACATTGTCTGATTTTTAAAGAATTTATTTGCAAATCATGGTGGAAAATAAGTATTTGGTCAATATCAAAAGTTCATCTCACTTAAAAAGATGAGAGAGGCCTGTAATTTTCATCATAGGTATACCTCAACTATGAGAGACAAAATGGGGGAAAAAATCCAGAAAATCACATTGTCTGATTTTTAAAGAATTTATTTGCAAATCATGGTGGAAAATAAGTATTTGGTCAATATCAAAAGTTCATCTCACTTAAAAAGATGAGAGAGGCCTGTAATTTTCATCATAGGTATACCTCAACTATGAGAGACAAAATGGGGGAAAAAATCCAGAAAATCACATTGTCTGATTTTTAAAGAATTTATTTGCAAATCATGGTGGAAAATAAGTATTTGGTCAATATCAAAAGTTCATCTAAATTACAGGCCTCTCTCATCTTTTTAAGTGGGAGAACTTGCACAATTGGTGGCTGACTAAATATTTTTTTGCCCCACTGTACATGATCCCTTGCCAACAGATAACCTCCCCCAACTGCTTAATGTAGATGTTAAAAAGAAGTAGAGAAGAGAGCCCTGAGGCACTCCCCAGAGCAGAGGTCTCTAGGCAGATCTCTTCCACCCCCTACCAACTGGAACTATCCCTTCAGAAAGAAAGAGAACCATTGCAAGACAGTGCCCCTCACTCCAGTCCCTTGGAGATGGTCCAGAAGGATACCATGGTCAATGGTATTGAAAGCTGCTAAGAGAACAAGGAGGACCAGGAGTGTTGCAGTCCTCTCTACAGATTATCCAAGACCACAAAGCAGTTTCCATGCTGTGAAGGCCCCTATGATATTGTGAAGCTTCTCATTGTGGAATTGTGATGGACATCAGAGGGCATTCTTTGAACAATAATAGAAGAATATAATTCAAATATCTGCATTGTTACAGTTTTTTGTGACAATTATTTAGTAATAATTATATTTTTTGAACTTGAGTTTAATGAAAACCATACAATATTGATTTACAAAATTCAAAATGCTACATTATAACAGTCCATATACTAGGTGAGTATCCCTGGGGAAAAGTAATGATGGGACACCATAATTGACAAGATTCTTGTTACCACCCACCGCATCCAAAGATGGATCCACCAGGAAATAGAAATGAATAATTACCTTTCATTTTTTAAAGAAAGAAATGTGATGCACTTAGTGATTGAACAGATGAAATTTTACCTGATGGCTATAAAAAAAAAGATTTTTATATAAGCTAGTGTCTGTATTTCCAATTTTTTTTTAATTTTATTTTTTTGCAGAAATGTTCTCATTGCCAGGAACCAGGAGCCACCTTAGGCTGCTACAACAAAGGCTGCTCCTTTCGGTATCATTATCCATGTGCCATTGATGCAGGTAAGAGAAATGAAATTATTGATACCAGAATATTTTCAAGAGAGAGAGAGAGACTAAAAGTTGTTTTCTGCTAAAGTGACACAGAATGACTTACAAGGACAAGAATTAAGAACATGGTGCTGTTATATAAGAAATTACAAACATCTACGAAAAAGAGTTTATTTTAAGGTATCACTTAAAATGCAGCAGCGAAAACGGCAGTATTTTATATATGAACAGGGCTTCTTTCAGATACGTTTAAAGGCAGGCCTTTGAGAGTCTTATGTGCCTTCTCCTTTCCTTATATGAGAAAGCAAGCTGAATTATATTTTTGCATTAGTATTCGTATCTTAATCATAAGGCATTTGACCTACCAGAGATGAAACTGTATCCCCAAACTATATATTGCATCTTTGGATTCTTACCAACTGGTAAATATGATTGGAACATCTGAAAGTAGTTGATGAAATTTGTTGCAAATTGCTATCTGCAGTAACAATATATTTATTAGATTTATATACTGCTTTTCCTATATCTTTCCCTCCAATTTTATTCCCATAACAACAACCTTCTGAGGTAGATTGGACTGAGAGATAGAAGCTGGCCCAAGATCACTGTTTCCATGGCTGAAGTTGACTTAAACCTGGAACTCACCAGTCCTAATTTTTCCATATCATAACCAGCACACTGATGCCTGGAATTAATGATACCCAAATTATTTCATTTACAGAGAAGATTCAGTGGGATATTTGTGTTTGGAATATTGATAGTTACAGTGAGGAAAAATTAAAGCATGTCATTATTTTAGAAATTTTGTTTGGAAAGCTGGTGTAGAAGGAATGGTGTTTAGCAGTAATTGTTTTTTCTGCTATTGTCCTAAACTGTCAGGCCTAGCCCAAGGAACTCCAGGAGACCATGCAGATTCAGTTCAGCAACGTTTATTAG